AGCTTCATTTATTTTTAGGGTAGCTCCCAAACAAATGGAAATGCAAGAAGATGATCCAATTTTTAGAAAAAATAGTTAAAAGAAGCAAATATTGATGTGTGTGATAGATGGATTTGGTGTTTATTGCACATTAATTATCAAGCAATTCTTAAGAAGCTCTTGTTCAACAGGGCATAGTTCCTGTTAGTTTGTTAGCATTTAGCTACCAGAATTAAACATGTTTATTACAACATCTAAGATATCCTGTTCTTATAAATTTTTAAATCACTCATCTAATTACTTGATAAGTTTCTTTTGTTTAAATCAAAAGCTAGGTTTGCCAATCAAGTACAGGTCTGCATCTAGATACGAATCTAACCCAACTTGCTGGAAGCTACATTCCTTTGTTTACAGGTAATAGTGCAGACTTGTGATTGTTCAGGATGTATCTCGAGTTAGGGCTGGCTAGTGTTAACTTTGCTATAGATAAATTAATTATGGAATGCAGTACACAAATCAGCTGACCCAGATGATGTAACTAAAATTCACCTGATCTTAGTAGGCACTAAACCATACACTTCAATGTGGTAGGTAATTTCAGATACCAGTCGATCTGTCATCACTTCAAAGTCTCCAAATGTTTCTCCCTTTAGAGAAACAAAATCAATCATTACTAAGGAGCCGCTCACTTGAATAAGCTACTGACTTATCTAAGTTTTTAAATTAGGACTAAACATATTATCATAGTTACAGAAAATTAAAAATTTCTGAGTTCAAAACTGAATTCCAATAACAATACTGACCTTTAAGATTCATAAATCGAGGCTCATTAATTTGACACACCTATTGCAGGGTTGGCTTTATTGTAATTTAACAAATTTCTAGATAAAATAGTTGAAAACTTTAAACGAATTTTCTCAAGACTATGTTGCCTATAGAAATATCTTTCATTTATATGAACCTGCAGCCTTGAATAGTAAATATTTCTTTAGATTCTATTTGTAAAGAGACAATTAGAAATACTTGCCTTTGTTGTAGATTTTGATTATAAATTTTATGTCTTTGCATTCTTGCGAATGTTTACAGAAAAAAAAATTATTTTATAAAATTAAATATTGTACCTTTGTTTTGATTTGACAAATACCCACACAATTTCAGCATGTTTACGATCAATGGTATACCTCCTTTAATACCTTACATTAATATAATTTGGGAAAGTGGATGTCTGTCTGTTGCATTTGATTAAGTCAATTTTTTCTCATGGTTTGTCAGTTCTACGTAACTCTGTACATGGTACAATCATTCCACGTGTTAAAGATTTATGTTCCAGAAAGTTCAAATACTGAATACATTGTTTACAAAGAAGGTCTGTAAACAATTTTTCTAACATGAATCCAACACTCCTTAGTATTAGTCCATGGATTGGAACAACACAACTCTACATATTTTGTCAAATTTTGACATGTTCTACTAGCAGAATAATATCATTTGGGATAAAGATGTCTGTCCATTACATTTGAATATAAAAAATAAACATGCAAAAAACAATGTGTAGGTGTAAGGCCTACTAAGAGCTACTCTTATTGATACATGTTAATTTTTGTATCTACATTTTGTTAAAATTTAACGAAAAACTTTTTCTACTACAAAATTTTAAGATCATAATTTTCATGAATTGCTGTCATATCAAAACAATTTTTAAAAGCCAATTTTTAAGAGTACTGTTTATGTTGTTTTATTCCAGTAAAATATGTTATATTTTTATATTTAAAAGGAAATGTATGTGCAATAAGAATGTTTGAACATGTATTTATTCAAATTTTCAAAAAGTATGCTGTGTAATTTTATATAATTTTGTTTACAAACTGAATTCTGTTAACAAGTGCAAAAACATGGATTACGAATTCAAACTTTTGAAGGAGGGGGTATTCCCAGTATCAACATTGACAGAAATAGGTTTTAGTTTCAAAATAACTTTTATAAAGAGAACATCTTAGTGGCCAGATATTCTATTTTCTATAGTTCCATAAGAATGCAAAATAAACAAAAAAACACAACTGTATATATTTTGTTGAACTTTGACACATTTTACTAGTATGTAAAAGTGGCCTAACACAGTAGTCTTGTTGATGAAACAAAGTTGATACAGCTGAATACAAAATGATTTAACTAAGCCTACTTCATCTTGTTCCATCAAAAATATTTATTTTTCTTATATCTTACTGTAAAATCATAATTCAATTGAAGTATAAAATCACAAAGCAAGCTTTAAAAAGATTGTATTAGTGTAATTTATGATGTCTTTCTGCCTAAGAAACCATGAGTGTCATATTATGCCTGGAAACAAATTCAGCAAACTCGAAAACACTAGTGCTTTCATTCAGAGGTGAAAAGACATAAAATCAAAACTTGCAGTTTAACAAAAAACGATTATTTATAAAATTGAATAACATTCTTTTATTGAATACATTTCAACTCTTTAAAGTTTTATTTTTAAATAAGTGGAAGAAAGACTACAAGTTTATGTTCGTTAATAATGTAATTTAATTGTACAATTTCTCCTCTCAAGAAAAGATGCACCAACTTGGCAAGAAAAGTTAACCGAATGGTCAGCTCAATCGGAGAAGGAATGTTGACTATAATTCAAAATTTGCTACGTAAAATGTACAAGTATGTTGTGCACAAAACATTGGATGTATCAGGGACGTATTTGTACTCAAGATGTCTACGAATTGCTGACATCAGCCTGACTCAGACTTTTACAATTCAAAGAACAAGGTGATATTTATTTGAAGGATAAAAATACTTTTGTCCATCGTACAGTTTTCATAATGTGTTGAACATCTGAAAAGCATATTACAGTTTTTTTTGCAGTATCCCTATATAGTGTGGGTGGTATTTTCTCTATCACCCCAAACTGCTGCTAATTCAGCTACATAAGGGTAAAATAAACAGATAACTCTGACATCAATTACATAATACCATCTTGAATTCACTCTGTAAAAACTCATGGTATGTACACTATGACCTCTCCTCCAGATACAAAGGTATAAACAGAAGCTTCATATATAATATTCTAAAACACGTTAATTGTACATTCTTTTAAATTTTCGTGACTTTTCAAACCGTTCAAAGAATTTATCTTGTTTAATAATGTAATTCAGTGGTGCAACTTTTCCCTTGAAACAGGATATGCCCATTTGAGAATGAGAGAGTTAAACAGAAGCTTCAGTAATTAGCTGTGATTCTTTTAAGTTTATTATTTTTAAAACTGTACAAAGAAGTAACACAGTTGTTCTTTGTGTGTGTATCCAACTTAAGTATGCCTACATCTTGAAGACAGCCTTTCAAAACGCTGCTGACTTTACCGAGTGGCTAAACTTTAGCTTCCAGAATTTATTTTGTAAGTTCAGTGTCAACTTAACAGTTTTTAATCCAGTAAGATTTATGAAATATATTTCAAGATATAATGCATGAAAGTTTCCATTTACTTTGTGTAGTTAGAACATAGATGATGACACAGCTATACATTTATACTCATTCCCAAAATGCTACATTTCTTATACAGATACATCAAAAACCCTTCAGCAAAATATATTTGCTTTTAAAATATATAACTCTTACTATACTAGCAGGTATCTTCAAACATAAAATTTCTCAAGTATATTGATTTTAGAAAATAAACAGACCTGATTTCGTTCTGACATCAGAAACTCAAAGTTAACATTAGGCAGCCCAAGCTCCAAGTAGGTCCTGAACAATCGCAAGTCTGCACTGTTACCTGTAAACAAAGGAATGTGGAAGAATAGGGACTTCATAATTTATCTATAGTAGAAGAATAGGGACTTCATAATTTATCTACAGTAGAAGAATAGGGCTTTGTAATTTATCTACAGTAGAAGAATAGGGACTTTGTAATTTATCTACAGTAGAAGAATAGGGACTTTGTAATTTATCTATAGTA